GTCAGAAAGGAACGGGCCCTGCCCCGCGCTATACCCTTAATTACCAAATTACCCTCACCCGTTCACACCCATCCCTCCCTATAAATACCCCAATTCTCAATCATTTTCATCATACCAAATCCTCTTAACTTCTCTCAAATACTCTTATATTCTATTATTAAGGTATATTTTATTATATTTAGTTTTTTAATAATTTATTTAATTATTTTAATTGCTAAATATTTTATTTAATTAATTTTTTTTGCAGACATAAAATGGAAGGCGACCTACTATGGTTGGATGGAAATCATATATATCGACACTTTGCTGATACGGTAACATTTTAACGTTTTAATTTAATTAATTAATTAATTTAATGCATGATTATTAGTTTAAAAATTAATTTGTGTAATTATTTATTTTTAGGAGAGATATATATTAGATCCTTTTATTAGGAACCTTAAGTTAGTTATACCTACTCGTGTAATGTCGTGTTTAGTAGAGGTTGGATTCAGTCACCTAGGTAGATATCAGGGTCATTGTAAGATAGAACCAAACCTTATTTTTGCCTTAGTAGAGCGGTGGAGGCCGGAGACCCACACATTCCATCTCTCGTGTGGAGAGTGCACGATCACGCTTGAGGATGTTTCTATGCACCTGGGGCTTCCGGTGGATGGAGGTATGATATCAGGGATAACTTCCGGTTCTTGGACTACTTTGTGTCGGGTTAGTCTAGGACGTGTCCCGGAAAATTTTAACGGTGGAGATACCGTTAAATTGGTTATATGCCAATTTTTGGAAGTTGAGCAAGGACGCGTCTGACGATGAAGTTAAACAGTATGCACGGGCGTGCATACTGCAGTTGATAGGAGGGTTGCTGATGCCAGACAAATCGCGCAACCAAGTTCACTGTATGTGGTTGCAACATCATGGCGACTTTCATATGGCCAGATCACTAAGTTGGGGCTCGACAGTTTTGGCTTGCCTGTATAGGGAGATGTGTTGAGCCATTGACTACAGGCGTAATGCTATCGGCGGATGTCTCATGCTGCTGCAGTGTTGTGCATGGTATCGATTGCCCTTTTTATGTCCCGTTGTCAAGAACCCATTCTTATTTCCGCTACTCTTGAGGTAATTATAAAACTGATTTTGTATGTTAATAATTTTATACAGTGAATAGGAAATTATTTTTCTTGAATAGGTGGTCTACTGATAGGAAAAATCATCAGGAGCTACCTGATGATTTAAAATAAATTAGGGTGTTAATCGATCAGAATGCTGGCACACAGGTATGAATTTTAATGTTTAAAAATCGATTTTAAATTATAGTTATATAATTGCCATTTTGATAACAAGCTAATTGCCAAGGCATTACAGAAATACGGAGTGCGACATAAAATTGCCACGGTATATCACCCACAAACAAATGGGCAAGCTGAAGTGTCCAACCGTGAAGTCAAGCAGATTCTCGAGAAGGCGGTGAACCCTCGAAGGAAATACTGGTCCCCAAAACTCGATGAAGCACTCTGGGCATACCGGACAACATTTAAAACACCTTTGGGAATGTCGCCCTTCAAGATGGTATATGGAAAAGCCTGTCACCTGCCAGTTGAGCTAAAACGCAAGGCATACTAGGCAATCAAGAAGCTAAACTTCGACGCGCAACTTGCTGGGAAAAAACGACTACTCAATCTGAATGAAATTGAGGAGTTTCGAGCACAAGCATATGAAAATGCCAAGCTCTACAAGGAAAAAACCAAGAAGTGGCATGACAAAATGCTTTTGCCTCGACATTTTCATGTAGGCCAGAAAGTGTTGCTGTTTAACTCTAGGCTCAAACTCTTCCCGGGAAAATTAAAGTCACGTTGGTCAGGACCATTCGAAGTCCACCATGTTTACCCGTACGGCGCTGTTGATATCAAGAACTTGGACGATGGGTCTATCTTTAAAGTCAATGGACAGCGCCTGAAAGCTTACCAAGGAGTCCCACCATTGCGTGACAAGACTGCATTTCTTTTGCATAAAGTTGATACTGGCCCAACGTCTTAAGGATGTCGTGACATTTTAGTTTTACTCTTGTGCATAAATAAATGGTTATTTTGTTACTGTTATTATTCAGTTTCCTTTTAATTTACTATTTTATTTTTCTTTGCAAGGTTTGGGTCCATCCAAATTTCAACCGTACCAGCATCAAATCATGAACAGTCCAGCTCCACACAATTTCAAAAGCGCACACGTCGTACGACCGCCGCACCACCACAAGCGTAAAGTCAAGGTACCTTGCATTGCATTGCATATCATAACATGTAGTTTAATTTTCTATAGTCTTTTTTAAGCATTGAGGACAATGCTTCTCTCAAGTTTGGGGGAGGTAGGGTTCTTAAATCATTGCATGATAGTATTAGTAGAATGAATATGCCATGACATTAGTAAGTGGTTGAATGGGTTTTCTGGAATAAATTAATGATGCCCGATGATGATGAACTCTTGATGGATAGGATTGAATGTACATGACTGTTGAGGATGATAGAACCAACTCTAGGACTTGCTTCTTTGAAACCTTTGAATACACGATTATATATTTTTCATGCTTAAGGAACTTAAATTTTTTTTATAAGAAAACTCTTACATGTCTTAGCATAAACGATGAAAACCCCACTTTGTAAAAAAAATGAAGTTGTGAATAAATGCTTCGGCATATCTGTAGAGGGACACTCTGCTATGCCATGGCATTTTCTGGAAACTACAAATAAATAAATGACAGCTATGGTATATGAGTGAATGAAAGTAGTCACGGGATGACTCTACCTGACTAGCTCGGGGGTGGAATGTATGCTCCCTTTCACCTAGAGTGTGGGATGGTAGGTGTGATGGGCTGACTCCCCTCGTAGCAGTGTTAAAAAAACAAAAAAAAAAGCAAAAAGGAAAAGAATGTGGGAGTAAAAATTGTAAATGTCGTGGCAAAACAAGAAAACTTGCGTAGAAAATTTTTAGGTTTGTTAAGCATGGACTGGAAACAAACACGCACACACCCACACAAAGAATCTTGCCCTAGGGGACAGTACTTGATTTCTCAAACTAGTCTAACATGTTGAAGCCAAATGTTCTGAGGGCTGAAATTATATACCATATAACTATTCTGCTTCTGAACTTGTCAGGGTATTTTTATTTTGCTTAATATTATCCATTGCTTGAGGACAAACAATAGCTTAAGTTTGGGGGTGTGATAACTCCGTAAAAAGGTCATATTTTGGACTTTTTCACTTAAGTTATTGATTGTCTAAAAGCCCATTTTGGATCATATAGATGCATTTAGGAGCATATAGTTGCATGTGGTGAAATTTTGTTTGTCGTGGCATTTTATTTTGTAATCAGTGTTGCATTATGGGGAAGGTGTTTTGTTTAATGATGTGCAGGATTTGGGAGAAAGGAAAAGCAAAAGGGAAATGCCATGACATAAGGAGACTACTGAGCAAAATGTGATTGCCGCGACATCTCGAACGGCATTTCTGGGCAGAAAAAGTCAAAGAATATATTTTTAGTAAGAGCCATCAGTCATGGCATAAAAAGTGCTTTCTGCAATCAGCATTAAAGGAGGGGCCAGTTACCATCTTTGCACCAACTCGCGCATAAAATGAATGAACTTTAGGGTGCAAGGGTAATTTTAACACAAAACCATAGGTTCATTCTCCCCTATAAATAGAAGAAGAAGCCTGACTTTTTTTTTAAAAAAAATGATTTGGAGATTTTTAGACAGCCGCCAAGAGCCTAAAAATTTGAAGAAAAAGTTCTCTCTTTTTCCCATCAATCGTTTTTGTCGTGGTATTCCTCCGTTAACAGGCTATAGGGAGTGGCGAACTAGGCGTCCGAGAGGAGCTAGATCGCTGGGACTGTTCGTTGTGGCCGAGGGAAGCTCCGACAGTGCACGTCGAAGGCTTTTCCTCCTTCCCTTTGCTCTTTGCTTTCGTTATTTATTATTTGGGTTGTAAGAAACAGATTAACTTGCTTTGTGCCTGCTTATTTTGAACCCCACCATGAACTAATCCTATTTGGTGGGAGTTTATTTTGGATATTTAAGATTTGCTTTAATGAATGATTATTTTTCTATGTTATAATTTGTTTTGCTTATGAATTTTAATGCCTTAAGGTTGTAGGAGCTATGAGAGTAACGATTCCTTAGGTGATTACTTAGTATTCGAGAGAAGGCCTAAGTAACATATCCTTAGTATTTGAGAGAAACTAGGGAGGAACCACATAAGCAAGGGGTTCTAGATAGTAACTAGGCCTAATCCACCTTAGAGATAAGGCTAGGATTTCATTCGACTAAAAGGATTTGTGCATGAGCGATAGGTTAGATGTTAATACTGCCGCAAAAAGGTATTGCCGAGACATATCCTGTTATCTGGACCAATAGGATCCCTGCAGTAGCTAACGCCAATCGATTTTGCCAAGGCATCTTCAATCTGTCTAGTCCCTTAACTAGAGATAGCATAGGGCACCCTTAGTAAACTCTGTCGGGCAGTTAAGGCATAGAAGTAAAACCATTATGAGAAGTGGACTTATATTTTCCTAGGTAACTCCTATCACTCATTCCCATAGTAGCTTGTCGTGTGAGGAGTCTAAAGTTCTTATAAGCAAATCCAGTATTTACAGTTTATTTTGCCTTTACATTTTTATCTGATCGCACTACACTCAATCCATTTTGCCACAACATATTCATCTGCTACCACATTGCCATCGTTTCATTTCCATATCATCCATTCATTTTTCCACAACATCATCATTTGTATATATACCATCTCTAACTTTACTTAGGTGACAGAGTAAAGTGTTGTGACAAACTTATTTGATTTTCCCCAATCCCTGTGGAGAACGATACTCACTCATCACTTTATTACTTGTTCGATTGTGTATACTTGCACACATATCCGCACCATTTATAGTACTCACAAACAGCGGACAGTTACCTTCACAAAGAACTTCAAATCGATCCTCCTCTACTCTCCGTCCAAGTTACAGTCATGGCTACGACAGCTTTGCTTCGTTCATTTCGACGATGCAACGCCGTCTCTACACCTCTCTCTGCTTACAGATACCTTACTAGCAATGGCAACAGCTCAGCAAGAATTAATTGGACAAGTTTTTCAAGAGCTTTCAGTGCAAAACCTGCAGGCAATGATGTTATTGGTATTGATTTGGGGACAACCAACTCCTGTATTGCTGTCATTGAGGGAAAGAATCCTAAGGTTATTGAGAACTCGGAGGGTACACGAACCACACCATTTGTTGTTGCCTTCAACCAAAAGGGAGAGTTACTTGTGGGCACCCCTGCAAAACGTCAGGCAGTTACCAATCCAACTAATACATTATTTGGGACCAAGCCTCTGATTGGTAGACGATATGATGATCCCCAGATAATAAAAGAAATGGGGATGGTTCCTTTCAAGATTGTGAGGGCTCTTAATGGAGATGCCTGGGTCGAAGCGAACAGACAACAATATTCTCCTAGCCAAATTGTTGTATTTATTTTGACCGATATGAAGGAAACTGTCGAGGCTTACCTGGGAAAGAGCGTTTCTAATGCTGTTATCACTGTTCCAGCTTATTTCAATGATACTCATAGATGTCAATTTTTTAGATGTTGTTTTAGTTAGTATTTGGTTGTTTTGGTTCACTACTGCTCGTGTTATTCATTCGTATTGTGAATAAGAAGAACGGAAGGAAGCATCGGCACTTCCGATTCAAGTCGAACGGAAGGAAGCATCAGAACTTCCAATTCAAGACGAACGGAATGAAGCATCAGCACTTCCGATTCAAGACGAACGGAAGGAATCATCAGCACTTCCTATTCAAGACGAACGGAAGGAAGCATCAACACTTCCGATTCAAGTTGAACGGAAGGATGTATCGCACTTTCATTTCAAGTATTCGTCTTTTCATCAAAAAGCTCATCAAGTGGCTGATGGTTTTACTAAACCATTGGCCAAAGCAACATTTGAAGTTCTTTTTTTTCAAGTTCAAGGATGTTCAAGTTCAGAAGAACAGAAGAAGAAGAAGTAGATTGAATGTTAGCATGACGAGTCAGTAACAATGGTGCCCATGCTACTATGTATGCATACTTAGCTTGCATGATGTTGTTAGTAAAGTAGTTAGGAGCTTCTTGAAGCTGTTAGTGGTAGTTAGGGTTGTTAGTATCAGTTGTGAAGTATGTTAAGCTTGTATTAGACATTAGAAACTGTATATAAACAACATAAGTTTTGTATTCCATACACAGTTCTTTACACAATCAATATACAAGTGTTATACTTTCTTTACTGCATACATGCTGCTATCTCTTCTTCATGCTCACCTTGTCATTGATGTCCCCTTACTCACAAAACGAGTAAGGATAGAGTTATAATTGAACTACTAGAGATAAATTGTTTAATTTTAAGATAAATAAGATCAAAATGGAATAAATCATAAAATTTAAAAGGATTATGATTTAATTTTATTTATTTTAAAATTTAAGAGTCTTAAAAAATAATTAAATCAGAAAAATTAGAGGTCAAGATATAATTTCATTTTAAAATTGAAAGAGTCTTAAAAACAATGAAACCAACAAAGTTTATAAGGACAATGACTTAATTATAATGAATTCAAAAATAGTAATGACCTAAAAATAATTGAATCATCAAAGTTATGTGATGAATAATTGTTCCTCCCACCTACAACGTAGGTTCGTCCCTATATAGGAGACATAGAGATGTGAATTTTTGTCAAACTTTAATAGGATGAGCATTTGATTCGCGGCTAATGGTTCCAACTTGACCCCATTTTATCGGGTCATTTATTTATTTATTAAAAATTCATGTTTGGGTTTAATCAGTCAATTTTTTGAAAAGTTCTACGGTGCATACTTTAATATAAGATTAAAATAAGATGTTATCGGTTTTATTATTATTTAAATAATAATAAAATTGATAAAAAGTTACTTAAAATATTATTATTTTTACCTAAAATGTTATCATTTTTACTTAAAACATAATTTTTTTAATATTTTGGTAAAAGTGTCAAATAATAACAAAATCAGTAGAAAAAATAACAAAACCGATAGCGCTTTACCAAATCCAGTAAAGCGCCCAATAATAACAAAACCAGTAGAAATAATAATGTTTCTGGTAATTTTTATTGGTTTTATTATTTAATTAATAACAAAATCGATAGCGTCTTTTTTTAATCGTATATTAAGACTGCTGCACGTGAGCATTTTCAGATGTGGTGATCATATTTGAATTTGAATTTAGGATGAAATTACTCGATCAGACCAAACCAAATATAGTATTATTATTATCCTTATATATTATCTCTATATTATTATTTTTAATTAGGTCTTTATTTTACCTAAATATATATATATATATATATATATATTAGATTGGATGCAAATTTTCACCTAAAAGATTTGACTGGGTGAAATCCTCTTAAATTCGAGTTTTATATATAAAAGGGTTTACTATTCGTCATTTATATTAAATTTGAGTGAATAAAAAATTTGACTTAACCCGATTCATGATATCTCTATATTTTAGGCATCACTGAGAAAATTTATATGTTTGAAATATTTAATTCGTTAATTACAATAAATGCCCCATTCACAATTACTTTTACAATACAAAAAGATTAATTTTTCAGTTGTATTTTTATAAATATAATTTGAATTATATTTAAAATTTAAATATAAAATTCTATCATAACGCGATGAAATCATCGTCGGTTTACTTTACACTCACTTCAGCTTTACGAAGAAAAATGGCAAGCAAAAATAATTATTTTTAAAAAAGAAAGATGAATATTAACAAACCCACTAAAACAATGAGATAGCGAGTACTAGGTCGGAATGAGCCGAAAAAAAGTAGCAGTACCACTTGTATTCAAAGATTAAACAAATGGATTTCGGAGCAACCTTTTATAATTAAATTACATATTAAATATAAAAATCATATGATATATAATTTATATAAATATGATTGTTTTAGAGTTTATGATTTTAAAATTTAAATAAGCTGTTTATTTAAAATAAAAGATATTAATAATCCTTATATATATATATGATATTAATAGAAATATACACTTGATTTAAAGTTAATTTAATCAACAACAGCAACAATTTACACGTACATTACCACCGGCATTTTTTATAAGCTACGATTCATACAAAAGCAAAGAAAAGCACAAGTTAGTTCAGATCGAAATATCGTGGAAAGTTTCCTTTTTCTCATGTTCTTTAAGTCTTCTTCTTAGGCTATAAAACATTATTATTACCTCTATCCCCTTTGATTGATCCAAGTTCTTTTGTACTAATTTGCTGATATTTTCCTGCATACTTGTGCAGCAAATTAAGTACTCTATCGTATTCCTATAAAATGAAGTTCGGGAAGGAATTTGCTGCTCAAATGGTGCCTGAATGGCAGGAAGCTTTCGTGGATTACAGTTCTTTGAAGACGTGTTTGAAAGAAATCCATCGTTGGAAACAAATGAATCGGCAACCGGATACCCCGGCTCGGCTTCAACGACCCTTAACGCTTTATAGAAGCTTCAGCGGTTTGAATCGCACACAAAACAGACGTGCGAGTTCTTTCGACGATCACGATGTTGAAAACCAAACGATTCTTGTGAGTTCTGTGCGAGGAAATGGCTCGGGGAAGTATGAGACCACTTTTCTTATGGTTACAGAAGAAGGAGCTGAATACGAGCAAGAGTTCTTTAAAAAGCTTGATAATCAGTTGAATAAAGTTAACGAGTTTTATTGGTCTAAGGTGAAGGAAGTAATGGCTGAAGCTGAAGCACTCACCGATCAAATGCATGCTTTAATTGCTTTTCGGATAAAAACTGAAAAATTAGAGGAATTTGTTTCTGGTTCTAGTCACCGTAAGTTGTTCAGAAATTGTTTTATATTTCAAATTTGAGAGATGTTACAATTCATATCCATGGCTTAATTTGCAGAAATCATGATTCCCATGAACCAGTTACAAGGAACGACTGATGTTAAACAATCCAATAACGGCTGCCAAGAGATTCAAGAAGATGAGCCCAATAAAGTTCCCAGTATTAGACTTGCTTCACAAGAGGTGTTGAATCATGTTAAGTTGAATCAAGCTACTTCAACAGCTGCTAAAATGAATTTCAGCAGGGAGAATCTAAAGAAAATCGAAAACCAATTGAAACGTGCCTTTATTGAATTTTATTACAGGCTTCGGCGTCTCAAGAACTACAGGTAAACAAATGGCTAAAAACCAATTTTATATATTTGGTTACTTTTTCTTTCTATTTTTTTTTTACATTGTATATTGATTGATCTATGATGCTTGTGTCTAAAAACAGCTTCTTGAATGTGCTAGCATTCTCTAAAATCTTGAAGAAATACGATAAGGTATGACTTTTAAGCCTTCTTAACATCGAACAGAATCCAATCTCAACTCGACCAGGCTGATGGTACTGACTGTTCTCCTTTCATGGCTCTCAGATGACATCGAGAAGAGCATCAAAGTATTATATGTGGACAGTGGATGATTCTTATATTGGCAACTCTGATGAGGTAGGTAGCTTCCCGGTTCAAAAAATCAGATAACGTCGCAGAGGTCTAAACGCAAAACGTTTGTTGTTTCAGGTAACAAAGCTAATGGAGAGGGTTGAAGCCACATTCATCAAACATTTCTCGAATTCAAACCGGAGTAATTGCATGAACAAGTTGAGACCAAAAAAGAAGAAAGAAAGGCATAGGATATCATTCAGCACAGGTCAGCTTTTCACTTAGAATGGCATGCGGAGATGTTTCGTTTTTTAACTTAAAGATGTTTATTGTAAAATGATCTTTCAGGCTTCTTCGCTGGCTGCACGGTGGCCCTCGTGCTGGCGCTGGTATTGATTATACATGCTCGCAATATCCTCGATAAGGAAGGAAGAACACAGTACATGGAAAGCATGTTCCCTCTGTATAGTTTATTTTCTTATACTATTTCACATCTTCATTGAAACAAACCCAAAAATAAGTCCATAACTGTTTGACAAAGTGACCTTATCTATGATTGCAGTTTGTTTGGTTTCATGGTTCTGCATATGTTTATGCATGCCGGGAATATATACTTTTGGAGGAAATACAGAGTTAATTACTCCATATTTGGGTTCAAGCAAGGATCAGAGCTGGGATATCGAGAAGTTCTTCTCTTGAGTTTCGGTCTCGGAACGCTAGCACTCATTAGCGTGGTCTCCAACTTTGATATGGAAATGGACCCTAAAACCGGAGATTATAAAGCATAGACTGAACTACTTCCTTTAACCTTTCTTTTGGTAAAAACTAAAGACTTTGATTTCATAATCACAAATCCAAATTCAACAAAACAATTTCCTGATCTTTTTTCCCATTTTCTTTTGATCTTTACCAGCTTGTGGTAATTGTATTACTCTGTCCTTTCAACATCCTTTATCGCTCAAGCCGTTTCTTCTTGCTCAGAACTTTGTTTCGTTGTATATGTGCTCCTCTATACATGGTAAATATATATAGTAATTTCAATACCTTTGTTGAAGCTGAATCAATATATTGGGGATTAATCTGTGACTTGCAATAATGATGCAGGTTAGATTTCAAGATTTTTACTTGGCAGATCAGTTTACTAGCGAGGTACAAGCATTCAGAAGCCTGGAATATTACATTTGTCATTATGGTTGGGGAGATTTCAAACTCAGACAAAACACATGCAAATCAAATGACATATTCAACACTTTTTACTTCATAGTTGCAGTAATCCCCTACTGGTCTGTCTCCTCCAGGTATTGTCACTTCCATTTCTGTTTCAATTTATTCCCGGAAAAAAAAAACATCGAAGGTTTAAAATACTTCTTCAAACTGTTAGTGTGTACGGAGGTTCTACGACGAGAGAGATTCGATGCAAGCTCTCAATGGATTGAAGTAGTTTCTGACAATTGTTGCTGTCTGTATGAGGACTGCCTATGGCCTCAACAGGGGAACCAGTTGGGAAGCATTAGCTTGGACGTTCTCGGCCATGGCAGCTATCTATGGT